GATGAAGGCATCACCAGCAGCAGCGGGCGCTTGGCCGAGGATTTGGAGGGGTTGGAAGTGGGCGGCAGCGGCGGCGGCGGAGGTAAACGCAAAGGCAAGGGCGCGAAAGCCGCCAAGGCTGCGGCGGCCAACGGCGCCAAGCCGCCGCCCGCCGCGCGCGCCGGTGGCAGCAGCGCAGGAGCAGCGGCGGCGGCGGCGGTGGACGGCGCCGACAGCGGCAGCGGCGGGGAAGGGGAGGGGGAGGGCTGGGATGGCGACCACGGTGACCCTCGCGTGCGCCGCGCGGCCGCCAAGGGCGACAAGCGGCGCTCGCGGGCGGCCAAGAAGGCGCAGGCCGAGGCGGAGGCGGCCGGCCTCGCGTGCCAGGTGTGCGGGGCCGCGTTTGGCAGCCGGTCAAAGCTGTTCAAGCACATCCAAGAGGAGGGGCATGCGGCACTGAAAAAGTAGCTGCATTCCAAGCGTAGTAGCTTTCCAAAGCAACGCGCTGCCCGTTTTCTGATTGTTTGCCCCAAGCGTTGACAAGTGCGTTTGACTCGCTGCGCACCCCCGACACATGCTGGCCAGGGCAGCGAGCGCCGCGCCGCGCAGGGGCCTGGCGCCAGTGCGCCTCTGGTCCCGTGCAATGCTGCATGCCGCGCTGTCACAAGTCATTCAGTAGCCCCAGGACTCTGGGTGTAATCGTCGGAGAAAAAACAAACCTGAACGCTTCCAAAAAAACGGTGCTGTTGGCTTTCATGGACTGGTTGCCAACCCAGCATGCGTGTTCGGAGCAGGGGCTATGTGCTAAGGAGTTCATCAAAAGGGGCAGGAGCGCTGCCGTGCGCAGGAGCTGGGGGCAGGCGCCGCTGTCGGCGGATGGTCCTGGCGGACCCGGGCCAGCAGGGGCTGGACGGTCTTTGGATTGGGGCCGGGGTTTGCCTGATTTGATGGCTGGCTGCATGATGCGTCACTGCTCGCAAGCCGGGGCAATTAGCGTTGCCCAAATTTGCACCCTGGTGCTCATAAACCCTTACACACTCAGGTTTCCAAAAGCGCACACTCAAGAAGTTGCCGACTTGACGTGAGGAGCATGTGTGAAAGCTGCAATGTTGAGGACCAATTGCCAATGATTCCCACCATGGAAGGCTGTTGTCTGCTGCAACACTCCATAAATACAGCAAGACAAAGCCATCGGGGCTCAGACGCACACCCTTTGCGACGTTATGGTGTCAGCACCAGCTGCAGATACAGCAAGCAAGCCACCAGACAAGACATGAAGCAATCAAATGCAAAGATTTTGGATGGATAAGCACAAAAACGACACGCATCAATGTGAAAGCTTCATGTGCTGGGAGGTGCGGACTACCCCTGTGGAAAAAGCTGGCCAACCTTCAACATGGATGCGACGAATGCAGCTAGCCACCCTATCAGCACCCCATATCCACTCAGCTGCAGCCCCTGGCTTGTTCGCCCTGAATGCGCGTGCGATTGGGTTGCAGAAGTCACAGCAACGCTTCATGGCTTAGCCCCTCATGGGGAACCAGGGATCCTCTCGCTGCTGGCAATGCATGATGCAATCTAAGCATCATGACGAGTGACGGGTTTGTGCCACATGCTTGCCACCGCAGGCTGCGGTTGTCAGGGTTTCTCAAACAGGGTGAAGGTCTTTGCAGACTCCACGATGCTCTCAATGGACCCCACTGTGGCCACCAGAGCTACGCCGCCCATGAGGCAGAACACGGCCCACATCAGCGCGCGGCGGGCTGGGGTGGTGGGCTTGACGCGCATGTACATGAGGATGGGGTAGGCCACTGCGCAAAGAGCGGAGGGGGGGCGAGGTGGGTGAGCACATGGCCAAGGAAGTGAAGGTGTGGTTGAGGGTCAAGGGGTTTCCGTGCGAATAGCGAGGCCGTGCGACGGGCGCTGGGCGGGGTTGAGCGCCTTTGCCCTTGCTTCCTGGTGTGCGCGGCAATTGTGCAAGCAGCTGTGTTGCCCTTTGTTCGTCATGACACAGGCTGGCCAAGATTGTGCAGCCCATCAATGTGCATACGCAGAACGCGCGGCCCCACGCACGCACCCGCTGTAGGAAAGAAGGTCACCGCTCCCACCAGCCCTGTTCGGGCAAGTTTTCAAAGGGTGGGTGATGGCCAGGGCGAAGATCAAGGCCCTGGGCTGAGATTCAAAGCCATGAAGCCTGCACATGACGGCATCTTGGACTTGCAGTGAGGGCCCTGGCCTGCCAGAATTCAATGCCATTAGTCTCGCCTCGATCCTGCCACTGTTGCGCGCCCAGCCACCATTCCCAATGCGCTCACACACCTGTGAACGCCCCAAAGAATGGCAGCAAGCAAGCCACAAACGTTGTCAGCACCACATACAAGGACCTGTGTGTGTGTGTGTGTGTGTGTGTGTGTGTGTGTGTGTGTGTGTGTGTGTGTGTGTGTGTGTGTGCGTGCGTGCGTGCGTGCGTGAGTGCGAGCGCGCGCAAACACAAATGCGGCGGTATCAGGTGCATATAAGGGTGTACGCGGTGACCACTAGTCTGTGAAGGCCGGCCAACATGAGGCCAGAAATGTAACATTACTTGCCAATCTCGACGGCACACCAAGTCCACTATCCGGGTAGCTGTGCAGCTGCAGCTTGCTAGCTGTGAGCGTTCAACGGTAGCACATATGTGTGTGCAGGGGCTGTGAGGGCCGACCTGTATCCCAGGCGGAGCAGGAACTCTGTTTGTCTGCTGCTGGTGAACTGCCATGATGGGAAGCAGGCCAGAAGGACGTCCTCGATGGACTGGAACACGGGCTGGGCGTAAACCTGGTAGGCTGACACCATGTGGATCAAAACCTGCGTTGCCATCCAACAGATTATTTTGTCGGTAGGGTTGCGTTGGATACTCAAGACAAAACGAGTTTGGTGTTTCCAAGACGGTTTTGAGCATGCTCAAAACCCTGCGAAGGGGTGAGGCTATCCCGGGGAGCCCTGAAACCTGCCCTTCGCCACCAGGAGTAGGGGCAGGGGGGGCGAGGATGGGGGAAGGACGCAGGCTGGCCTCCTGCTAGAAGGCCATGGCAGGTCATTGCAAGCAGCAGGCGCAACCTCCCCTGGACCCGCACCGCCAGCCCACCCGCCAGCTTAGCAGCAGCGGCATGCAGCAGCGCTACAGTCCAAAACTCAGTCCAGGATGTGATCTTCGCAACGCACCATGATGTTGGCGACCATGTTGACCCAGTCAGGAGAGTTCCGGAAGCCCTGGAGCGGGGGGGGGGGAAACACCAATGGGCGGCGCCCAGGTGCACACCATCGCACTCAAGCAAAGCTAGATGTGAGTTGAAGTCAGAGAGCCGGCAGCAAGATGAGACCAGGCATGCAGGAACTGCGAGACCAGGGCATGCAACATGCCGGGCATGCGGGCCCTGCATGCGGCTGGGAGCTGCCACATTGCACAAGCATGTTTGGCCGCAACTGTGCGGGGTTGCGGTTGGGTCCGGGCGTACGAAAGAACAGCAGCACGGCGCAGCGGTACATCCAGCTTTGAAAGTCAAAGCACGCGCACTGTTTTGATGCGTTGTGTATGTGTGGCGGCGCGCAGCAGGCGCTCGCACACCATCAGACAGGCCTTGAGTGGCAGATGCGCGGGCGCACGTCAACAACGGTAAATCATACAATATCCTGTGTCTGTACAGATATTAGAAGTGTGGGCGCACCAGCAGGACGTTGTCGGGGACGGCGTTGCCCAGGGCGAGGTACCCCAGGACGCTGATGAGCAGGTAGAAGAAAAACGTGGTGCCCAGCCTGGACGCGGTGTGCAAATGTCGAGGGTGCGGTGTGGCGTTCAAGCATCAGTAGTGCCATGCTCAACTTGGAAAGCCCATGGTGGATTGCCTGCCTGCCAGCCAGCCGCGCCCCCGCCGCGCTGCCTGCCTGCAGCCCATAGACAACCATCGCATCCAGAGGGGCGCTCAACCCCTACGGGTCACCACCCCACACAGCAGCAGCAAGTTGCGTGGGGCCCCGGCTCCCGCGTTTATGGCAGGAATGGAGGCCAGTGACAGCACACCGGCCAGGAGGGGAGCGATTGCAGACATGATGAACAATCATTCACTCAGATCCAGATCAACCAAGACGGGAGTGAGAGCGCACCCGAGCTGCACAGACTTCTTCATAGAGACCTCGGCCTTTGGCGGCTCCCTGAGGGTGTCCTCAACCTCCAGCAGCACGATGGCGGCCGAGTAGGCAAATCCGATGTTGCCTGGTTTGTTGATATCCATGATATGGGGTGGGATGGCACAAAGCCCACAATAGAAAGTGATGGATGGGCAGGAAAGCAGATTGGGTGAAGCACTGGCTTCACCAACGCCAACCTGCTTCCACGAGAGCACGCGTGGCAGAAGAGGCCTGGCAGGGCCCAGGAGACGCACACGGCGGCACAATTATTTTGTGACGGCAACGTGCTGCGGAGATGCCTTCCGCAAGCACACGCCTGCAAAACCGGTTGGTGGGAGCCACAACAACAATACAGCTGCCAAGTGGTAAGCAGCCGGCCAAGCATCCATGAGGTCGTTGAAACACAAGGTTGACGCATCCAGTCATTGGGTTCCCAATCCTGTCGCACACTAGAATCGCACCCAGGGAATTGAACACGCCGAACGTCTTCACGTCCGGCGCGTCCAGGCGGCCCGCCACGGTGCCCAGGCCGTTTGATGCCTGCAAACGACAGCGCAGATTGCAGCACGCGTGCGTGTGTATGCAGGGCTTTGTGAGATGGTGCAATCGCCAACTTGCACGCAGTCCGGCCGGCAGGACGTTAATTGCAATCCCTGCAGTAAAGCGTCGGTCATAGCAAAGTGTGCCTTCCAGCCCGTAAAGCACTTGCATGCGGAGCAGTTCCTTGGCCTAATGCACGTCCAACAGCATCAACAGCTGGAGGACAAATTTAGGGTCACCTGAGACCTATCAACAACGCGAGCGTGGCGGGTTTGACCAGCCCTTGCTCAAATTTTGACCGCTGGTAGACCATCGCACCTGTGACGCGGCGAGCCCGACAGCGATTGAGCTGTACCCTATCGACATCAACGCCCCGAGAGCGCTGGCCCACCACGCGCTGAAGTATGCCAGATTGTGATGCGAGCGAGTCCACGCGCACAGAGTGCAAGGAGGTTGTGTTGGTTGGGCAAGTAGGACAGTGCAGGAGTGGCAGGTTAGCGTCAGGCACATTCAGCCCCAGCCATTGCAGAACTTTGATGGTTGATTATCAGCATCAGGTGCGTTTAAAATTGAATCAAGGCACAGCGGACATACAGCAGGGTCCACAAAGAGCTCAGAAGCGATAAGATCGGGGGTTTAGAAGCTGGTGGGCCGGCGCAGCCGCTCCACGCACCTCTCAAGGCTGGGCAGCATGCTCATGAGCAGCTGCACGGCGCCAAAAATCAGTGTGTGCTGCCACTGGCCATCGAAGCAGGTGGTGCGCCCCGTCGTGTGGCAGGCCAGCCGCGCGATGTAGCGCAGGCTGTCCGCGGCTGCGATTGTGTAGCCGATTGTTGTCAGCATCTGCAAGTTTGGGGTGGAGGAGGAGAAGAGTGCAGTGATGGTGTTGGCTGCTTGACTGCCTGAAAACTTCCCAAAGTTGCACACATGGCACGCGAAGGCACACGCTTCTACACCTAGCCTTGCAGTCCTGGGGAAAGGCGCGTGCTCAACGCAGCTGTGCACATCGGACAGCTCATATTCAGGTGTACAGCTCGAATAAGGCACAGGCAGCCAGTCTCAACCAAACCCCATCCAACACACTGGAACCTCCCCAGCTGGCCAGGCTTTGCAAAGCGGCAATTGACCGCACACCATGTTCAAGTTTTGGCAGACTGACAGGATCGCCGAGTGAGTCGGGCCCTGCGCAGGTGGACGGAAGTGCGCACAATACAAGCGTGCTGACTCTGCGCGTCCAGCAGGCCGAGGCTCAAACATCGCAGCAAAACCAGAGGCCTGGCCGCTTGCTGTCGCTGTGGCGCTACGCGGGGAGCTGGTGCGCGGGGCACGCAGGGGCTGCTCTACAAACGCACACAAACGTGTCTACAAAAGCAAGGCGCCCCTGGCCGCGCGTCCCCCTGGGCATGGGTGTGGCCACTCGGAGCTGCCTCTCCTGCTGAAAATGCGCCCGCAGCTTGCTGCATACAAGGCCGCTTGCGCTCTTTGCCGTGGGCCTGCTGACGTCGCCACATCTCGGCATGCACGCAGCAACCGCCGCCATGACCTCCTCTTGTCAATGCATGCAATGCAAGATCAAGCCCACCATGATGTGGAGCACCGCCCACTTGTAGCGCGTGTGCCTGCATTCGCACGAACAAAAGGGGTGGGCGGGCAGAAGTAACGGGTTCAAAAGCAGCGTGCAACCGTCACAGGGCATTGTGAGAAGGCAGGTGGACTGCTGCTAATGCATCCGCTTGGCGTTCGGGCATCGACTCCAGTTTGGGGGTTCAAGTGTATCAGATATGCTACAACGCACAAGAACGGCGTGCCTCGCACTTGCCACCGCTCAGCACACCTTGCTTTGCCAGCAAAACGAGCACGCATGCTGCATCCACACCAGCCTATCTTGTGCTGCTGCCTGAGCCGCTGCTGCGCACCATCACCTGCTAATTGATTCCTTTGCTCGCAGCCAGGCCGCTGGCTGGCACTAGCGCCCCCCCCCCCCCACACACACAAAAAGAGCCCCAGCAGCCAGCCCTGACGTAAACGTAATGGCAACACCTGTCGCTGCCTGCCGCCCACCTCTTTCCTTTCACGTGATAACAGTCAGTGAGCATGGTGCAGGCCCAAAGCGTGATGACGTAAAACCCGACCAGGCAGGTGATGCCGGCCACCCAGCCCAGCCATGCGACCGCGTTGGGCAGGCCCAGCACGCCAGCGCCGATGATAGCAGTAATGAGGTGGCCAGCCGCGGTCAGCCACGAGCCTGGGTTTATTGGATGCGGAAACAATGCAAGTAAGGATAGTGTGCAAAAATCGTCATATCATGCATGCACTGACGAGGTTCGATTACCGAGGGTGTGATGCAAGTAAGGACAGACTCATGCAAATCATCGACGTGGCTGGGGGAGATCGGGCGGGGGATGAACGCTGCGGACGATGCCTGGCACTTGGCTGGGTGGCTCGGTGTCACCGCGTGGGCGTCACCGCAGAGCTGCTGCTTGCCATGATTAGGCACGGGCCACTTCAAGACAACAACAGAGGAAGCTTATGGAGACGGGTGACTTTGTCGCATATCATACGCCCTCACTGTGGCCGGCGTGGTGCAGGGAGCCGAGGCTGGAGAGGCGGCGTGCGCCAGGGGCGTGGCTGCCGCTGCCGCTTCCCACCGCCGAGCGCGCCGCGCTCATAATGGAGGCGCGCCGCGCCGCAGGGACGTAGATGTCATCGGATCCCAAGACAAAGTCTCCGACATCGTCCTCAAGCTGACTGGCAACCTTTGCCATCGCTGCTGCCGTGTGCTTCTTGCCACGGATGCAGCCCGGGACCGTGTGGCTTGCTGGCTGACAAGCTCTTGGCACAAAAGTTGGAGTAATAAAAGCATCGCACAGTGTCGTACCCTCATCTCAAGCGCAGGGGCCCGGTTCGTGTAAGAACGAACTCACACCGAATGTCCGAGCCAGTGACCAGCGTTTATTCAAGATAACCCCAAGAGATTTGATAAGAAAACGGATAATTGAAAGGGTAGCGTTGTAATACAGCTCTGTGCTTCCAGCCACGTGCTACCAGGTGGTACAAACCGGGCTGCGCACTTCTGCGAGATCTGCTGCTGCTGACTGTGCGACTTGGGCACAAATACAAGCTGCACACCAACGGGCATGACACAGCAGAAGTGTAGCACGTCTCTCCCCTCGACACCGTCCCGTTTCATCAAATCGCAATCGTATCAGAAGGGCTCGCACTGTGCACCCCCTCCCTCGCTCACCTGTCCGCAACGGGAGCAGGCGCGGGGCGCTGTGACAGTGAGCGCAGTGGTGCAGCTTCTGTCTGCGCCTGTTTCATTTCAAGCCGCCGCAGCGCCCGGTGCGCGAGCAGGCCGGCGGTGCCGAGCGCAGTAAATGAAGGGAACCCTGGCAGGTCGCGCGACCTTGATGTTCCCACACCCATTTGCGCTGCAGACAGTGCACTCAGTGTTGGTGGCTGCAGCGGTCCATCAGAATGGGCATGCACACTCCAATTGGAAGCACTGTAGCCGGATGCCTGCAGGCCGCCGTGCACCCGCAGCCACTGCGAACCTGCGGTGCCGCCCCTAGCACGCAACCTCGTGCCCGGACGCCCGAGCGCAGTCTGGACAGCGTGCGCGCGTCCCGCTGGCACCAATGGTCATGCATAAGCACGTTTGCCATGGTGTGCACCGGCTAGGATTCGCAATTCCATCCAAAAAGGGCCGTAAGGCGGGCTCTGGCTGCCAATCCACTGCTGAGGCCGCCGCTGCGCGCGCCTGCGATCGGCTGCCATGTGCATGGCGGCACCGCCTATGTTGATGACTACATCCAGATGCATATGTTTCAGGAACTTCATGATGGTCGAGATCAATACAGGGGCGCTTGTCAGGGGTGAGGGTGGGCGCTTTTTTGGGCGCGCCTAGGGCGTTGGTGCAAGCCAAGGTCAACGCAGAAGTGAAGAGAGGAGCCGGCCAGGCCAGATATGATAGTAAACATCATAACCAAGATTTCAAAGAGCGATCGGATCATCCGACAGGTGCGCAGCGCGCAGCGGCACAGGCCTGCGGATCGTCACCAGTGACACCCGACCGCCGAAGGTCGGGCGTCCAGAGGCGCCGCTGGCGTCGTCATGAGATGAGTGCTGACAGGTCGAATATCACTCAGCGCCATCCTCATACGCGCAACTCCGCCCAAGCGTCTTGATGTGGAGCTGTGATCCCACAAGTCGCGTGTAATCCCATACTTTGAATGCTGCAATCAAAAATTTGCAAGATCAGTATACCTGCGTCAGCTTGCCGTCCAGCAACCGGCTGGCGTTGCGTGCGCTGCGTTGCCGCGCCTCCGCGCAACGGCACCACACACGCACCACAAGCTGCCGCCGCACGGAATTCCATGGCGCAGCCGCGGGTCCGTAGCATGGCTCAGCTGCTGCCGCTGCTTCTGATCCTGGCGTTCGGGGCGCCGCGCGCGGCCGCCCACCGCCCGCTGCTCACGGGCCCCGTCGGCGGCGCTGCGCACAGCACCTGGGAAGCTGCCCTGCAGGTGCCCTGGGTGACCAGCAGCTGGAGCGTCAAGAGGGTCGTGGAGGTGAGGCAGAGACGGCACCACGGCTCACGGCATGGAGCGTGATGCATGCTTTTGTGGGTTGCAATACACCGCATGTTGTTGCCGATACTGCTGCGATGGTCACCGGCGACGCCTGTTCTGCAGTGAGAGCCGGTCACCAGGGTGAAAAAACGATGCGGTGGCAGCGCTGTGCTGTGTTGACAATCTTCACATCCTGGCGCCGCTGCTGCTTCTTCGCAGTGTGACGCGCCTGTGTTGTGGCTCAAGTTCACGGCAGGTGAGGGTGCAGGGGTGCCTGTATGTCATCTGATCGGAACCGGCAGCCGAGGCCGCGGCGGCAGGCAGAGCAGGGGCGGTGGTGCTGCCGGCATCAACCGGCGCGATCTGCATACTGCCGCTGCCAGTGGCGGCGACCGGCCGGTGGGCCGCAACAGGGGAAGTTGCGCGTGTCACCTTGGTCGCTGTTGTGCCGCCTGAAGCCCCCCTGCCACCCTCAAATTCCCTCCAACCATCAACCGGCAACCCCACGCCCCTCGATGCAAACCCGTTCCGCAAAATTGCAGAGCGCGCCAACCAAGATGTCCACTTGACAGCAGGCACCCCTGCCGTCCCTGGCCTTGCCGCCACGCGGCCCGCACTCGCGCTGTTCGGCCCGGGGCTGCCCCCCTACAACGCCTCCTCCCTCGGATGTGCGTTCTCGAATCCAAAAACCGAGTCCTTGTTTGTTCATGTGCTTTGTCAAACTTGCCTCAACCTGCCCATGCAGTTTCCAGAGTGCTCGGGCCATGTGTCGTGCGTGGTCTCCATTTGAAATGCTGCTGTGATTCTGTTTTTGCCGCTTGCTGAGTGCGGGCAAGAAGCAGCGGTCGGTGCTGCACACTTTTATGTGTTGCAACAAGCCCCGCAGCCACTATGACCAGCCCGACGGCCCCAAAACGCCTGCACGCCGCCGTCAACTCGTATCATCGCCCCTCGCTGTGTGCATCCCGCGCCGCAGTCGCCGCGCCGCCGCCGAAGCCGGGGCAGGGCTTGATCCGGGTGGGGTCGCCGGCGGACCAGAGCAACTGCAAGTTTCTTGAGAACACGGTGAGGCGGCAGCAGGGGGCACTGCTTTTCTCGGGGATACCTGATGTACTTATACATATTGAATTGAGTCGACCGTCGTCTTGCGGTGGTCCAGACCAAGACTCTGATACGGGTCAGTTGTCTCAACAGGTCAACTGCTCTGTGCGACTCAATGTTCAGCGGCGAACGCTCACTTCAGCACCCATCAATCGCCGCGAAGTGCCAAGGCTTCCCCACCGACACCCCCGCATCAGCACCCCGCAAAATGCCACCACCACCACCGCCATGACTAAACAGGTGTCCAAACGGTCCTACAAGCCGGCCAACTTTTCGGGCGTCGGCGCTCGCTGTGGGTACTACGAGCCCTACAGTAAGGCGTACCTCTGGATTACCGCGGACGCGAACGTCACCCTGCCCGTAAAGGTGGGTACGGGTGACACACGTGAATCTGCGTGTCATCAGCTGTGGTTGAATGCGGTGTGGTGTGTGGTCATTGTCTATTGAGGGATCCAGCGAGTGTACTTTGGTTTGGGCAGAGCGTCAAGAGGTTCCTAGCGCGCGGAGGGCGGCAGCTCTCGGCGCAGGCGTCGCCCTGGCACGCAGCAAACATGAACCAATGCACTTCGTGTAGCGGCCTCATCCAATCGCCCGGAGGCGCCGCCTCGACCCTCTCCCATTAAATGTCCCATCGATTGTCCCCCTGCGCGATCGTCGCCCCTCGCGCCGCCTACTTGCTCGTCGCCACCGCCATCACCTCGTCATCGTCTCCTCCAATTAACCACCAAAGGGGGGCACCTACTACCTGGCCGCTTTCCTGGACGGCCGCAAGTCGACCGGCCGCTTCACCGTGGCGATCGCCAATTGGGCGGAGGATGAGGACTTCAAAAGACCTTATCAGGCGCCGAAGGGCAACAGGGAGTCCGTCAACTGGACCGACGCGGCGGCGACGCCGCCCGCGGCCTGCTGCGCGGGCGGGAAGGCGGCGGTCTTGCCGGCCAAGGCGGGGGCGGCGAAGGCGGCGTGGCAGGCGGCGGGGGACGTCCGGTACTGCCCGCCTTTCAACGCGTTCGGGTGCGGTTGTTGGGCGGGATTCGCTTTAGAGTTTAGAAAGAGGGGGGAGGGATAGAAAGTGAGCAGGAGGGGCCAGGGGTGTGCACTGTGCAGCTGCGGGGTGTCCGTCTCGCAGCGCTGGCAGTTCCCTGGCGCGCCCGTCGCAAAAGCGCCACGCATTGTGCGAAGGCACCGCCGTGTCGGTGCTGCACCGCCCGAAGCCCGGCCTGGCTGGGGCGCAGGCAGTTCGTTTGCATCCAACCGCCCAACCGCTCACCCTTGCCTCTCGAACTTCCCCAAACAAAACACCCGCAGCTGCGGACCCCAGCCCAAGGATCGAGCCCTGCAGGCGGCAAACGCAGAGGTGCGCCCGAAGCCTCTCAAGGGCAGCCACCCCGCCGGCCCGTCAAACGGCGGCTCCGCTCGGCCACAGGGAGACCGCCATGGCCCGGGCGCTGAATGCTGCTCGCGGCGTTCGGAGCGGCGGCCTGGACGTTTGGCCGACAGAGTGTTCTTGCGCACCTCGCGCCCCGCGCCCGTCTCATCCTCCCCAGCAGCCTCCTCAAAATTCATCAGAGTGCGGCTACCCTAATCATCCAGGTTGCCCCTCGGCTTCTCTCTTGCAACGCTACCTCGCTTACGGTCATCAAATGATTTTGCTGATTTCCCCCCTCGCATCACAACCGCCCCACAGGTCCCCGCCGTGTCGCCGGCAGCTGCCGCGAAGCTGCTCAAGGAGGGCTGGGCGTACCTGGAGGTCAGGACGCCCGAGGAGCTCGTGACAGGGCGCGTGCCGGGATCCATCAACATCCCATTCTCTCTGACGAGCCCCGCGGGCGGTGAGCTCCGGCGCGGGCGCCGGCTCTGGCGGCAAAAGCACTGCGCAGATGCGCCCGGCTCTCGCGCTTTAGTGGGGGGTTTTGGCG